ACTGTTCTACTGTTCATTGTTCTTGACAACACAACATTTTAATCATAAAAAAGTTGCACCTTTATGGCTATATAATATACCCATGGATTAGAGGTAACTATACAGCAATCACCTGAGTGCTGTAAAGTTTCTATACATAATCTAGGGTTTTGTTCCTCCATGTAAAATCTATAAAGATAATATTAATTATTCTAAAGGTATTCTTTTGCAATCTCCACAAACAAATTAAGTGCTAAAAAAAAAATTATTGATAGATCCAGATCACTTATATAAAATTAAATTAGATTCAGTTTTCAACATGAATTACATTGTGCCCAAAATTTAACAATAGGTGGATCTATATTTAATACAGTAGGCATCTTACTATTTATAGAAAAGATCACACTTAAATATTTTAAAAGACATTAAAGCAATTTTAATGGATACGGTGTTGTGTAGAGAGGACATGATTTGATCCAAGATGATAAGTTATCCATGCAAAGCCTGGGACACTATCATCACCTACATATCATGGCACGGCTATGGTTGTAAGTTTCCCTGTGGCATAGAGGTGTTTCCTTGTATTTATTTAACCACTTCAATACCGGGCACTTTTATCCCCTTCCTGCCCAGGCCAATTTTCAGCTTTCAGCGCTGTTGCACTTTGAATGACAATTTTGCGGTCATGCAACACTTTACCCATATGACATTTTTATCATTTTTTTCACAGAAATAGAGATTTCTTTTGGTGTGATATTTATTCACCACTGAGTTTATTTATTTTGTGCTACATAAAACAAAAAAAACCTGAAACTTTAAAAAAAAAAAAAACATATTTTCTTTGTTTCTGTTATAAAATTTAGCAAATAAATAACATTTCTTCATAAATTTAGGTCAAAATGTATTCTGCTACATTTCTTTGGTGAAAATACCCCAAATTAGTGTATTTTATTTACTCTGTAGGAAAGTTATAGCGTCCACAAACCAAGGTATATACAGTATATCTGACAATTGATCAATCCTGATGTACTGATGGCCCACCTAATTTCTTGAGGCCCTAAAACGCCAGGATAGTACAAATACCCCCAAAATCACCCATTTTTGGAAAATAGACAGTTCAAGGTATTTAGTCAGAAGCATGATGAGTTTTTTGGGAGGTTGTAATTTTTTGTTACAATTTTTTGGAAAATGTAAAAATTAAAAAAAAAAAAAAATCACAATTTTTTTGTTTTCATTTTACATATTGTCACCAGTCCCAGTCCAGTGTTATTATATAACTAGTGTGGTCAGAGACACTGGTGATGTTATGTAAAAAAAATAAAAATAATAATTAAATTTTTATTTTTTTCCAAATTACTATTTTATTTTTCATTGCATAATATTTTATTTTTTTACTTTTTTGTTTTCAACACACTGTGACCAAAGCCATACAATGTTACCATAATAACATTGAACTACTCTGGACAAGTGATCAGGATTTTTTTTTAACACGTTATGTATTTCATTGATATTTGCAATCATTGTTACTGAATGAAACTGATTCATTCACTCTTTTGTTGTGATTAGCTGTGATTGGGCAAAGCTCATCACATGATTGTATCATCTTACTGCTTTGACCATTCACAGCTAACACAATTGTATACAATGAATGCAGGACAGGAAGCCATCCATTGTATACAATTGACATGTGATCTGCTGTGATTGGTCACAGTGATCACATGACACTGGCAACGGGCCGGTTGAAGTGATATGTCATCGGCTGTGTCCCATGGACACAGCCGGTGACAGATCGTGCCGCTGCGTGACCCCGCGGCCGTGTGAGCGGCTCCCTTTGACAGGACATCATATGATGCCCAGTCACAACAAGAAGTGTCTCGCCCAGCCTATAGCAGATTTATGGCCAGGCAGGACACTCCTCATTGTGACTGGGCGTCATAGGACGTCCTGTCAAAAAGAGCCGCTCATGCGGCTGCGGGGCCCCGCAGCGGCACACCTGTCTCCGGCATTAACCATTTTGTAAGTACAAGAGTAACTATTGGATGATGCTTTTGTACTGTTTGGATTATATACTTACGGTAGTCCTTATCATATAAGGTGATGACTCTGATAATAAGCCTTGTGAATGCTGAGTGATGTGGTTTCTTTGAGCCTCTGTTCTGTGTCTGCCTCAGGACCTGTTTGAGCACAGCTACTACATTGGTTTTTAAAATGTGAGCATACAGATAATTCTCTGTTGCGATGTAAAAATGTACAGTAATAGATATATGTATAATAATGTATTTTTATTATAGTTTTAGAGCTATATCTAAGTCAAACCAACCTTTCCTGAAGAAGCGGAGGTTTGCTGCAAAACAGGTCGATATATTGATCTGGAATAATACACATTATTTCATCTTATTACTTAGTATCTGCATGTTTGGATTAGAACTGTATGTTAATACTAAGAGGTTTTTATTTCCAATCTATGTCGGGAGAGATTTGTACATTTTTTTTCTTTATTAAGAGTTCTTTTATAACGCCTCTTGGCTTCTGTCATTTTAATGGAAACAATAAAATTGTGTAACTTTAAATTGTTTGGTTTGCCTCACATTGTGCCCATAAAAGTCTGACTTTTTGGGAGCAATAGTTTTGTTCCTTTATTTTTCATATGATTATCTGAATTATGTGGGGTTTCTTTTACATTTCCCCAGAAAAAAATGTTCCAGCTTAGCTGATACCTCATCTCCCTCCTCTTTTGTGGTTTTCAGTTCGGTATTATGTTTAGTGTCCTTGCACCATCATGCAGTAATCATACTGGCATGGGTACCTCTTTATCCCGCAGATGAAAAATAAAGGTCAGATACTAGACTGGGCTGTGCTGGTGCCAGTAGTGCTCTTGTGCAGAGTAAAAGGCAGTGCTAGCACCAGTAGTCCTCCTTTGCAGAGTACAGGACCATACTAATACCAATAGTGATCCTTTTCAGGATATTGGGCTATGTGGGTACCAGTAGTATCCCTGTGCAGGGTGCTGGACTGTGCTAGTACTACTAATGCTTCTGTGCTGGGTATTGGGCTGTACTTTTACCAGTAATGCTCCTATGCAGGCTGGGATGTGCTGGTAACAGTAGATAGTACCATGCAGTACTACTATGCAGACCCAGGACAGGATGCTCAAAGCACCACAGGATAACATTGCCCTTTAGGAGTGAGTAGTTGCACATCTCAGGAGCCACACAGTGCAGGATAATCAGAATCCTATTTTAGGACACTATGTCATTGTTCATATTAAGTCATTCAGGGCACCCCCCCCCCCCTCTACCCTCATCACCTGTTAGGACCCTGCCACCAATTATTGGTTTGCATAATTTCCTATTAGTGGTAATGGTGGACTATACCTGTGAAATATACTGTATGTTGGATAGCAGCTTAAACTCTCAACTAAGGACTTATGTGACAGGGTAACATTTCAAAAACAAAAAAAAAACTGGCAGATAGCTGTCACCCTATTACTGAAATAAATAAGAACCTTCATACCAGTATCAGGTCTTTTGTTAATGAAAGGTGAAGAGATAAAAAGATTGAAGACAATGTTTGAAATCACATTAACAAGTTAAAGTGTTCACGGGATTTTGGGTATTGGGTTTAGATCTACTTTAAAGCTGAAGTTTAATCTGCCTGTATGTTGGCATTCCTGGTTCCTTCTTTCCCAATTCATGCTGAAAAGATTGTTAAAAAAAACTTTTACATTTTCAATTTTCATTCTATATGTTATTTTAGCCACAGTGACTTTAATACGCTTCTCTATGCAATGCAGGCAGATTTTAACTTGTGGGAGGGGCTGGTGAGGTGTCTTACATAGCTTCCGGAAACATCACAGCGCTCTGCTTCAGTACATTTCTAAAAAAATAAAAAAAAAACCCAGTGGGCTGGATCATGGGAGGAGGCATGCAAATATAAAAATATCTTGCTGGGTAATGTCAGTCTGAAGGAGTAGGATTTTTAGACAGGCTTCATTTGCATGCAGATTATCCCTGGTAAAACAAACCTGTGACGCTAAGCCTTTATGGTTGAAAGAATTGAATTCCAATGAGTGAAAAGTGCAGGCATGGGGTAGTAAGTCTGGAGAGGAAAGGGCTACATGATGCTGAACGTCCTCTGGCCAGGTAATAAGGCATATTCTATTTGACTTGTTGCAGCTTCTAATTCACACTGTAAGAAGCTCATAATGTGCAGTGAAACCAGAATATAGTAAATAGGGATGGAGTTTGCATCAGTGCAGGATCACACTGAATCCTGCCTGTAAATGATTTGTGAACTGGCCAGACTATTTGGCCCCTTCGACCACCTAAACAACCTGTTGGAAGTAATGGGAAATCATTCATTTATTGGCATACACTGTAAACTGTCTTCAGACAACTATCCTAACACCTTTATTCTTCTACCCCACTCTTCCTATTGTGTGCAGTTCTCCTTGTCTTTATACTTAAGACTCTGGGATTGCCTAAGTTTTATGTTGACATCTTGTTATGCATGCATTTAAAAACTCAATAAAAAGCCATAAAACTAAAGTAACAGAGTAAAATGTAATTTCTCATCTTCATGACAAGTTGGAGATGGCAGGAGCTATATTAAGAGTATTATTATTATTACAGGAACTTATATAGCTCCATCAATTTATGCAGTGCTTTACATATATATTGTACAATCACATCAGTTCCTAACCGTCAAGGAGCTTACAATCTAAAGTCCCTAACTCACATTCATACATACACATACTAGGGACAATTTAGACGAGTCAATTAACCTACCAGCATGTCTTTGGAGTGTGGGAGGAATCTGGAGTACCCAGAGGAAACCCACACAGGCACAGGGAGAACATGCAAACTCCAGGCAGGTAGTGTTGTGGTTGGGATTCAAATAAATGACCCTAGTGCTGCTAGGTAGCAGTGCTACCCAGTTAACCACTGTGCTGCCCAAGAGTGCATTCATTCCAGGTTCTTTCTTTGCACCAGGGGAGGAGGTTAGTGGAGAAATGTATCAGATAAGACAGGGCTTGAAAAAGCCATTCGCCCACTCGCCAAATGCGAGGAGAAATTCTTGTGTGGTGAGTGGCGAGCGGCGAGCACAGATGATGGATGGAGCAGCTGCACCTGCACTCCAAGCCTCATTGTGAAGCCGAGTTCTGTTTTTCCATCCAACTTCCGGTTTCCAGCTTCTTCGGCACCGCCATTATACTGGCAGCGCCGCTGAGGGGACAGGTGCAGCAGAGGTCTGCTCTCCTCTGCTGAGAGGAGACACCCTCTCCACTGCTGCAGGGGACTCGAGGAGAGGTCCGCTCTCCCCCGCCGCAGGGGACATGAGGAGAGGCCCATTCTCTACTGCCTTGGGGGATCACTGTAGAGAAACCACTGCACTGCCCTCACACAGAGCTCAGTGGCCTTAGTATACTGCAGTATACCTCTGAGCATAGGGCTACAAAATAAACTTTAAGACACTTGTTATTTACTGTTCCAAAACACTTTGATTTTCTTTGTGTAATTTTCTGCTAAAATACAACTGGACTTTAATAAATGAATAATAAAAATATAAAAGTATTATACAAAAATCAGTTTAAGGAAAAACTGAAATAACTGAAAATATGTACTTACTAGCAAAAATCATATCATCATATTAAAAAGTCTCTTTTTAAAGATGCAGAAGATAAACAAAAAAAATACAAAATGTTCACTACAGGTTTAAAGCTGTAAAACATGATATTTTGATTGCACCCTAATGCTATTAAGCTGTTAAGTTGTTGTTTAAATTGACATAATAAAGTTATGTTATAATTGCAGTTTTTTATATTTTGGACTCTTTATTCTAAAGAAAAATTTAATTTCATAAGCTTTAAGGGGGGCGTGGTTGGGCATGGCTGGGGGTGAGGGGCGGGGTTGGGGGACGGGGTGGGGTTGGAGGCGGACCTGGGCAAGGTTGGGTGGGGCAACTGGTGGAGAGTAACTGGTCTGGTAGCCATTGGTAGTTTTGTATTTTCCATCCCTTATATGTTATGTCATTCTGATATGAATCCATGGTTGATTCATCTTTAGTAGAAGCTCTTCTTTTGGCTGCCAGGAAAGCTACGCTAGGTACGCTATGTTGTATTGTTGGATATGTTTTTTGGATTAAGCATATAGATTGCTTATGTGATTCATTCTGCACATTTTAGATCTCATGGACTGAGACATAGCTGGTAGCTACTGGGGTCCCTCTTCCATTTCATGTAAGAGACCTGTAACATGTTGATATTTGTTAAAATATTTCCAATTATGGATATTATTGAGTACATGTAAATATACTTATATTTTGTTGATTGTAGAAAATAATACTCTTTGATATTTCTCCTGAAGAAGTGGAATCATCCACAAAACACGTTGAGGGATCTCAAGTCTAATGCATTTGAAGAAAATGTAAATGTAGCAATAATCCTTTGACACAATAAATTCAGCTACTCACACGCTACTAGAATACTAAGAATAAGGCTTTGGCCGAAACGAGCTAGAGTGTGATTACTGTATCCTGCTATGTAATCAATAAAGAATTGTTCCAATGCATATCACCGAGTAGCAGGCTTTATTGTGTCAGAGGAATATTGCTGCACTTGGGCCACAGCACCAGTTTCCAATCTCCCAGGTAATCCGCGGTAGACCATGTTTCATTTGTAAATGTGCATTTACTTCACCAACAAAACAATGTCCTTGGTATTATAGGAGATGTTCTTATGAACCCTATATGAGGATCTTGAACTTTGTTTTATATATAGTACTTTTGTAGGTGCTTTTTACATTTTTTATAATAATTCATTTGTACTGAATAAAATCAATAGTGTTTTTTAAGGTGGTTCTAAAGTAATTTTTTTAAGTTTTAGTTGCTCCTCTTCTGGGGTCCTTCACCATTGCTCTCTACTGCTCCTTACCTGTGTGTGCTTGCTTTGGGGGCACAGGTGTGGCTGTGCTCCCAAGTTGGGCTGTGTGAGTCCATAGACACACACAGTATAGCTCAGCCCCACCCCTTTCTTCTTTACTCACAGTATTTGACTGACAGCAGCAGGAGCCAATGTGTCCTGTGAGATCAATGAGAGAGAAGAGAGCCTCAGTAGATGAACACAGCTCTGGAGTGATTGAGGACTCTGGTAAGTATTTAGGGAAGGGGTGTGGCGATACAACTTCTGGGACATTTTTTATCCTAATGCTGCGAACGTATTAAGGTAAACATTGTTTAGCCTTGAAAATGACTTTTTCTAAATGATGTAGAGTATTTCTACATCTTAAAGGTCATATTTATTCTCAGTAGTTTTTGGCTTTCCTATCTTCTGTTGGTAACATTGGAGTCCCAGAAAAACTGAGCTTTCAGAAAAAAGTATTTTTAAAGATAAAGTATAAATGTATTAATAGAATACTAATCTAAATAATACAACCACACACACATTCATTTTTCAGTTGTGTAGTGAACATACTGTACTGTATATTTACTTCAATTACCCAATCATGTTCAGTGGGAATTCCTAAATTTTAAATATGGAGAGACATGATTAAGAGTTTTACTATCAACAAAGTTTTGCTGAAGCTGAAACTTGTTCTGCCGCATAGGTAATATTTGCTTGAAAAAAAGAATGCATTTTTGTGTGTTTTTTTATTGTTATTTTTGTGCTGTCCCTTTATATTTTCGTTTCCCATTTTTTACAGATTTTTTTTTTTCTATAGAAAATTTAAACTAATGAATAGGTCCAGGATAGCTGAAAGGGACTTATGTACCTCAGGAGCCATTTAAAGCCAATTGCAGTCTTTAAAACCACTTCAATCTAACCACCAAACTTTTAGAAGTGAAAACAGCATAGTAGCTAAATGGTTAGCACTTCGAACTGGCAGTATTAGAATCATTGGTTCAAATCCTAGTTACAGCACCTCCTGCCTGGAGTTTGCATGTTCTCCCTGTGCCTGCCTGGGTTTCCTCCCACACTGCAAAGACATGCTGGTAATTAGATCCTGTCTAAATATATAGTATGTATACATAGTATGTGTATGAATGTGGGTTAGGGACCTTAGATTGTACACTCCTTGAGGGTTAGGGATTGATGTGAATGTACAATATTTATGTAAAGTGCTGCGTAAATTGATGGCGCTATATAAGTACCTGAACTAAATAAATAAGAAGTGAATACTCCCTATTTCAATCAACCCCAATTTGAAAAACATTTTTTCTATGATTAGGTGTTCAAGGTGAAAACAAATGTATTAGATTAAATGTACTCTATTTAATCTCTTCATGGCTAGGTAATTTTTAATGCATTTTATAGATATATGAAGAAAACCAGATCAGACTTTCTTTTCGTGATTAGCTGTTTAACCACTTCAATACCAGGCACTTTCAACCCCTTCCTGCTCAGGCCAATTTTCAGTTTTCAGCGCTGTCGCACTTTGAATGACAATTACGTGGTCATGTAACAATGTACCCATATGACATTTTTTTCTTTTTTTCACACAAATAAAGCTTTCTTTTGGTGGTATTTAATCACCACTGGGTTTTTAATTTTTGCTAAATAAAAAAGACCAAAATAAAAAAAAAACACATTTTCCTTTGTTTCTTTTGCAAATAAATAATGTTTTTGGTGAAAATAACCCAAATCAGTGTATATTATGTAATCTGTAGGAAATTTATAGAGTCCACAAACTATGGTATATGTATCTGAAAATTGATCCATCCTGATGTACTGATGGCTTATCTCATTTCTTGAGGCCCCAAAACACCAGGATAGTACAAATATTCCCCAAATTACCCCTTTTTGGAAAGTAGACAGCCCAAGGTATTTATTAAGAGGCATGGCAACATTTTTGAAGTTGTAAGTTTTTTTGAAAATGTATAAATGTAAACTTAATTTTTTTAACAATTTTTTTTTACATACTGTCACCAGTGCAGCACAGCATCGTCATATAACCAGTGTGGCAGTGATCAGGGACACTGGTGATAGTATGCAAAAACAAAAAAACATTTTATATAATTTTTTTTCAATTTTAAAAGTTTTTTTTAAATAATTTTTTGAACTTTCTGTGACCAGAGCAATACAGTGTTACCTTAGTAACACTGTACTACTCTAGGGACCTCATCAGGATTTTTTAGTACTAGTGATTGCTTATACTAGTGAATTTCACTGGCATAAGCAATCATTCTTACTGAATAAAATTGATTCATTCAGTGTTTACTGTTGTGGTTAGCTGTGATTGGCCACAGCTAATCACATGGTACAGATGGGTTGTGATTGGTCTTGTCTGTACCATGTGATCACTGTGACCAATCACATAGATCCACACAGCAATACATAATGAATGGCATGAATGAGCCCCATCTATTGTGTACAATTGTCATGTGACCAGCTGTGATTAGTAGCCTGATCGGTCACTGATTGGTCATCTGCTGTGTCAGGTGGACACAGAAGGGGACAGATCATGCTGCAGCATAACCCGTCATATGACGCCCACCTGGAACGGTGCATGTCCTGCCCGGCCCTCAATTGACAATAACCCGGATGGGAACTGGTTAAGAAAATTGCTGGGTAAATTTAATATGTATACAATAAATGTGTGCCAAAAGCCAAAACATTTCTTTTTTCTTTTACAGTGCTAACTATATAAGAGGGGATTTCACCCACTTTTAAAAGACTTCCTCTCATTTCCCATTGTGTTAAAAGAGCAGAATTTGAAGGTAAATATACATTATGTATTGTTAGGTGCATATGGAGCCATTAGGCTGGAGTTCTGCTTTTAGATATATATATGTCATATATCTTTGGCATATAGATAATTGTAAAAGTCTTGCAGTTGTAACTACTTATAGTAAAATATGAAAATGTAGAATTGTTACAATTATGTACTTTACTTTTCAAGGTTTGCTTCATTTTATTTTTATTATTTACTTACATTTGGCCTGTCAGACAAGAATTGCTAAATTGTCCAAAGTGCTCATAACAGAAATCCCAAAAATAGTCAGGATTAAATAAAAAAAGGCTTTATCAATTTGCAGTTTTACCCACCTCCAGCAGACAGAGGGTCAGTTATCAACCCTGAGCTTAGTCAGTAGGGACATTAGCCCCCATACAGCAGGTGCCATACAGCATGATATTGAGCAAAGATATACAATGTCTTACATATGCCCATTACCAAATCCACTTAAAACTGGCTGTTACACATTGCCAAATGGTGTGCCCAGCTTGGTTTTACCTACCATAGCATTGCCACTTTAGCACAGTGAGGTGTTTCTACTCAGTTTTCTATTTACATGTCAGGACATCTTAAAGGG